ACATACACATACACATAAATAAGTCACGCATGCACGCACGCACGCACGCACGCACGAATTACAAATTCTTGCATACGCGTGTGACTAGGCGATAAAAAAAAAAAAATAAGTTATGGCATATTTTTCTTTTTCTTCTTCTTCTCTCAGACAAAAGGCGAAAATGAATTTAATACATCGCGTGTTTATAATAATAATAATAATAATTATTATTATTATTATTGTAATTAAAATTATTCTATCTCATTTTCTGTTAATTAACAACTAATTTTGATCTAGCATGCATAGTATGCAGATGGTTTGTTAAGTGAAAGGAGATAAAAAAAAAAAAGAATAAAAATGAGAGGACGTGGGGGAAAAGAAGAAGAAGAAGAAGAAAAAAAAAAAGCTTCCAATTCATCTTCACGATCGTCAAAAGTGAATTAGAAATAAAAGTTAGAGTTTGATTGAAGTAAAGACGTATGTCTGTGTGTGTGTGTGTGTGATGAGTCTATTTCGTTTTAACCATAAGAGAAAGTTTTGTGTAGAGTAAGTAGTCAGGATTGAAAGCGATAGTGAAACGTCAGAATGCGACTCCGGCCAGATGGAAAAAGGAATCGCTTCGATGAGAACGTTTTATTTTCATTCTCATTTAATTCTAACATAAGTTAATTTAATGATCATCATTGTTTCTTCTTCTTCTTCTTCTTCTTCTATTACAACTAACTCGTACAAATAAAAACAAAACAAAAATGACTAGAAATGATATTCGAAGAATGCGAAATCTTCTTTGGAATAGTCCAACATTCCCAAACAACAACCCATTTGAGACCAACTTGCATACCATGTGTACAATCATACTTTGCTATTATTAGTTATTTTTGAGTAAAGTATTTGTCGAAATAAAACTTTACTTTTTTTTTTTGTATAAATATTGTAGTATTGGGTTGGCAATTACTAAGTCATTGTGGATTTTGTTTTACACCAAATTCAGTTTTTTGATAACAAGAGATCAGAAATTTTATGAACGTGGGATTATGACACGATGGTAAAAAGTCATCAACAAAAATGGACAATACCTAATTGAATAAACACTTATATTTTTAAGCAAAAATTTGGAATTTTCATTCTTATTAAACCCTTAACGCTCCAAGTGTGTCTTCCAGGCACCACCGACGTGCGGCGCTTTATTCCAATTTTGGAACAAGTTGGAGTTGCCGGTAAATAACCACAATTAAACGTCAGAGGGTTAAGGGTTAAAATTCGCAATCACTTAGTTGCCAACTCTCAATATCTTTAAGTTATAGAAAAACAAAATTTGGCATTGTAAAATTGGCAATATAATAATAAAAAAAAAAAAAAAAGAAATGGCTCCTTGAAAAAAGTCGTGGTATCTTTTGGGCTAATTTAAATATCGTTGACAATAGTAGAACAAAAAAAAGCTGAGTTATATGAAAAAATATTTACAAATTTTTATTACTTTTAATTAATAAAAATTAATTGATATTCTAAATAACACAATTGATATTTTTAAATGATTTGTTTTATTTGATATATATATATTTTTTTTTAAATTTCAAAATGTATTTTAAGAGTAATGTATGTAATTTCAAATCAATCAATTGTCACATAAATTAAACTGAATACAAAAAATTGAATTTCTTTTTATTATCCAAGGAAAATAAGCCCCTCCTCCCCGCAAAAAAAAAATGGAAAAAAGATAGAATACCGATTAGAACGAAACATAAGAAGAATAAAAAAGAAAAATAAGAAAAAGAATACAGAAAAGAAAGTAAGATGGGTTGAAAAAACTATAAGTGGTTGTTGGAAAGAGAATGAATTTGCGAACTATGTCCTTTCGTGACGACGAAGTCTCCTCGAAATAATAGTAGTCACGATATTTTCAAACCACATAGAAGTAGTAGAAGTATCATAGCATAAGAAGAATGTAGAAAAACAAGGGTAGATGATTGTAAGGGCTGCTGTTGCTGGTTATATAGTAGAATGGTATCGTGTTTCCGTTATTCCGTTTTACTTAGGTGCCAGTCTAATCGCCAAAAATAGATCGAATTCGCGGGAATCGTAAGTAAAGAAAGTAAAGTCGATAAGGACACGAAACCTTTCGGTTCTTCTCTCCATACCTTGAGCTTCGTTTTAACCTTCTAACGTTTATTATCGATCCAATTCATCACCTTACTTCTCTAACGCCTACTCTAATTTCATTTTACCTTTTATACACACCTAAGTTCAAAAAAAAATAAAAATAAAATAAAATTCAATCTGGGTCGTTTGAAATTATTTATTAAATTTAACTTTAGTTAAATTTATTTAAAAAAACAAAGACTCCCATTTCATTGTACCTTTTATACACCAAATTTCAAAACTAAAACTAAAAAAAAAAATTCAATACCAATAGCGTATTGTTGAAATTATTTACTAAATTTGTTACAGTAGTTTAAGTTAAATTTGTATATAAAAAAAAAATTTATTTATAATATTTTATTATTTTATATTTATTATATTTATATATTATATTTTATTTTGTTATTTTATAATTATATTTATTATATTTATATGTTATATTTTATTTTGTTATTTTATAATTATATTTATATATTATATTTTATTATTTTGTTACTTTGTAATTATATTTATTATATTTATATGTTATAATTTATTATTTTGTTACTTTATAATTATATTTATTATATTTATATGTTATATTTTATTTTGTTATTTTATAATTAAATTTATTATATTTAAATATTATATTTTATAATTAAATTTATTATATTTAGATATTATATTTTATTCTTTTTAAAAAATCATTGAAAGATGTAACATAAATTTATTTAACAAAACGACCCTAATTTCATTTTACTTTTTAAACACCAAACTTCAAAACTACAAACAATTCAATCTCGTTAATATGTTCTTACAATTATTTACTAAATTAGTTAAATAAACAAAAATTATATCCTATAGAAATCAATATAAAGCAAAAAAAATTTAATAAACAAAAAGAATAAAAATTAATTATCAAACAAAATTAGCATTAACTTCGAAATCAACGATACCATAAATCAGCATGATTCTGACACGAAAGTGATTAACAACGTAACTTAGAATGTATTTGTAAAACTAAAAGTGTTATCCTCCTCCTCCTCCTCCTTCTCCTCTTCCTCCCCTAACTATCCTACAGCTTATGTAAATAAGTTAGTATTAAATACGAACGTAATACACATGTGTGTGCGTGTGTGTGTGTGTATAATGTAAACGTAAAAATAGAATTCCTCCCCTTCGCGTTAAACAGCCAAGAAAGAAAAAAAAAAAAAAGAAATAAGGAACACAACACGCGTGTAATTGAAATAATACACATACATCGAATGTTTCCTTTTGACTAATTGCTTCGTTAATTTAATGACCACAAAACAGTGACGAGAGAGGGGCGGGGAGGGGAGGGGAGGGGAAAGAAGAACATATCAACCCATTGTATTAATTCTCAAAAAAAAAACCCAAAAAAACAAACAAACAAAATAATTCACGAGATATGTTTATAACAATCCTTTGCAAAAAAAAGGACAAAGATAAAAATATAAAAAAAGAAAAAAAAAGGTACGAGACGTTATTATAATCGTTGTGTACAGGAAATTAACTTGGCCTTGTCTTATCTTGCATTCTGATGACTACATCATTGGCATACTACTAAACAGAGAAAGAGCAAAAAAGAGGTGGAAAAGGAGAAGGAAGGAAGGAAAGAAGGAAGGAAGGATGGAAGGGGGGAGGGTGGAGGAGGGAGTGAGAAGGAGTACAAAAAAAAAAATAAAAAGGGGTGGGAAGAAGTAAAGGGGGACACAAGGGAGACTTAGTTAGAAGGAGAGAGAGAGAAACTCAAGTTTGTTGTCCAACAACGTTAACGTTAATTAAGTATGTCCCGAGTGCGGAGTGCACGAAGGAAAGGTTTTTCAAGGACTTTGGTTTACGAATATGGGTGTACGTACGCGTTCGACGGGTGTAGAATGGTCTCTTGTCGTGCTTATGAAACGCATCGGTGATCAGTTAAAGTACGAACCAGTATTTGTATATATATATATGTATATATGCTTTGTTCTATAATACATTCACGTAGAATGTAAGAACAATTCAAATGTGTGAACCCATTTAATAATAAATCAAATTGTACAATTCGTTCTTGCCACGATTTGAAAAAAAAAAAAAAAATGCTATTGTATATACCTTCATTAGTGATAATAATATATATGTAATGTTTTAATTTATTATTTTATTCGAATATAAACTAGAAAATAATATTATTATATATTATAGAGTGTTTTTTATATATACTATATTATATAATTATATATATATTTATATTTATATTAATAATTTTTATATATTTTATATTTAATTATTATATTTTTTATATTATAAAAAATTATAATAATATATTATTATTATTATTATTAATTGGCATTAGAAACTCGAAAGTTCATTGCCGCAAATACCAAATCCCGCCATTATTATAATAATATATAAATATAAAAAAAAAAAATTATTATTATTATTATATAAAAATTTATATATATTATTATAATATATTTTATTAATATTAATTTTAATTTATAATATATTATAATATAATTATTATTTTATTATATTATAATATTTTTTTATTATATATTATATAATATTATTTTCTATGGTTAATTATACTATTAAAACAAATAATAATAAAATTGTAAATGAAATTCTGATAAAATCCAAGTTAATAATAATTTCTATAAATTTAGGTTATATGTTTTAATCATAGTTTCATTTCAAAAAAAAAACTTAGATCAAAACTAATATATTAAATCTAATAATTTTGAAATATAAAAATTAGTATTTTATAATATATATGTATAACTTCATCTAATTTTATTCAAATAAATTATCTCTTAAGATTAATAATAAATAAAATTAACAAATGAAATTATTTGTTAATAAAGAAGAAGAAAAAAAACCAAATAAGCTTAGGTACTTACAAGGCGTCGTTTAGGTTTGATTAGTGGTCGATTTTGTCCATTCATTTTGTAGTAAAGACCACAAGCATTGCAGAGGTAATGTCCAGTACCATCTCGTCTCCACAAAGGTGTCGATGTTGCACCGCAATTAACGCACTCACGACCCTCTATATTTCGTGGTATGTGTGAACGCATACCAACGCACACGACGTTCAATTTTGTCCAGGGGAGGACAAAAATGGACAGAGAAAAGAAAAAAACAAAAATTGAATTAGTATCTTTTTTTCTTTTTTATCATTCATATATATATATATCATCAATAAATAATGTTATTACGATAAATCGATAAAGTATATTACAGACTAAATTACACACACACATATATACATATGTGTATATATCTATATATCTATATATATAGATATAAACACATATACAGACAGAAGAAAGAAAAAAAAGTGGTGATGATCATAAATCATCTCGATCGATTCAAAAAGGAAAAACCATTTTGAAATTCGATCGAACGATTTTATTATTGGATCGAATAAAAGCATTTTTATCATTGACACTTGCACAAATTCTTTGAATATTAATTATTTTTATATAAAAAAAAAATATATAAACATTTTTCTATTTTTTTTTTTTTTTTGGTTTTCCAGTAATTTTATTTATTTATTTAAATTGAAACGAATTTATGCGAGGTCAAAGTAAAAGAAAAAAGAGAAAAACAAACAAAAACAAAATGGATGGTTCATGCAGCAATTTGCAACAAAAATCACATTTCACATTAAGCGATTTATCAGAGCAAAAGCAAAGTCTTGTTTATATTTAAATATATTTTCTTTCTTTTTTTCTTTTTTTTTTTTCCTTTCAAACTCCAATGATTTGAAAATTATTCTTATTATTTATTATTAATGCTACAAATGATTATTATTATTATTATTAATTATTATAAATTTATATCGAAAGAGATCGATATAAATATAAATATATATTTATTTATTTGAGTTAAATATTATAGAGAAAATTAGATGTACTAGATAGATATAGAGAATTAGAAATTAGAGAGAAAGGAACAAAATATATGTATATATATATAGATATATACATATATAGATATATTACAGTTAGGGTTCGTGCAACAGCGTGTTTTTTCCTCCCCGTCCCTCTTATAATGCGTTTGTAATAAATATTATTTTTTTTTTTTCTATAAAGGAAATTAGGATAATGAATTGGAGTAGTTGGAATAGTGTGTATAAAAAGACAAACGAACGAACGAACGAACGGTCGGTGACTCCTTCGAATTTCAGCTAATCTCGATTATGGTTTTATCCTTGAATGTTGGGCCTTGTATTAATCCAATAAAGCACTCACTCACAGCATTTGTAGAGAAGAAGAAAGATGATTTTGTCGATTACATTCATCAATTTCATGACTTCATATGAGAATGTGATCACGCACCAAATATAATGATTTTCATCATCATTGTCATTAGAATCATCATAATCATCATAATCATCAGGATCATCAGAATCATCAGAATCATCATAATCATCAGAATCATCAGAATCATATTTTTCATCATCGCATTTCTCTTTCTTATTAGTCTCGTTGTTGTTCTTCATATTTTTTGCTGGTGTGTTTTTTTTAATCATTCTGTTCAATTTAATTTTTGAAGAAGTAAACGTCATAACCGGCTTACCCTAATTGCCCTGAGGACTTGGGTAAGTTCGATTCGGAAACTAATTGGAAGGACCGCGAGGCATAACAGGCAGCAAGCCTTATATGATGCACCCATAAGCTTGGGTTAATTCGATTCCTCGGGTTTTACTGTCGGGAACAGATTCGAGGGTGATAACGAGCTACGATTATATTTCCCTCTTACTCCTTTTATCATCAATGAATGTGACCAATTTCTCTCTTGCGGTACCAAATATTACAAAACCACTACACTAACCACCACCACCACCACCACCACTTATTCCTCCTCTTTCTACTCATTTTTCATTATTTTTTTCTTATTCTTTTGATTAAGAAAGTACATTCTTATTTTATTCTATAAAAATAAAAAAATAAATTAAATAGTCAAATGATATTAATAAAGTAATAAATCAAAAATTAACAATATTATTAATAAATTACAAGAAAATAATTAAAATAATAATTGAAAATAAATTAAATTACTGATTAGACATTAAAATACTAAATAATATAAATAATTAATAAATTGCAATAAAATAATAAAAATAATAATTAAAAAAATAATAAAATATACATTAAATTACTAATTAAAAATTAAAATGTTATTAATAAATTACAAGATAATAAAATAAATAATAAAAAATATCTTGAATTACTTAATTAATAATTAAAATACTATTGATAAATTATAAAACTATTAAATAAATTTAATAAGTAATAATATATAAAATCCAATAAAGATAGAAATAAAAATAACGTCTCATAATTTTAATAATAAAAATTTAATAAATAGCTAACACCGAATCGTGTTCTTATTGTAAAGTCAAAATAATACAACCTTGTAGTCATCTCATCGAAAACGAAAAAAAAAAAAAAAANAAACGAAAAAAAAAAAAAAAACAACAAAAAGAAATAATAATTGATATAATTTATTATATAATAAAAAAATTAAGTAAAATAAAAAGAGAAATATAAAATTGGTAAATCTGGTGTTCATTGGTCGCGTGTCAACAAAGATTAGATAAAAATCAAGCACGTCGCGATCTTTCCAATTAATTCACCACTGACGTTTATTAAAGTAGTTTCCCTTTACTTGATTCTAAGTTTTTCCAAGATCTAGTTATACTGTTATATACATATATACTAACTTCTTCTTCTTCTTCTTCCTCCACTACTATTTCTGTAAATATATTTTTTTGTCTTCTTTACTTTAACAAAAAGACAACGTAGAAGAAGAGTAGAAGAGGAGGAGACTTTCGAAGGCTTTGCGATAGAGAATAGCAAACTCGAGAATCACGTGTGTGTGTGTGTATGTGTGTGTGTATATATGTGTATATGCATGTGTGTCGTAAGTCGATTTAATTAGCGGGCTTCCAACGGCGCGAAGTCGAACCATTGTTCCTGGAATTAGGATTTTTACCACGCCGTCGTTGGTAGAGAGACCGGCTATTACCGCAATCAGCGTATCCGGCATTTTTCAGCCGTCTCATTCTCATTACACTCCCCCCTTACACCTCCCACTTCACTCAACCCCTCTCTGGGTTGTTCTTCTTTCTCCTTTTATTATCATTCTTCTCTCTCTCTCTCTCTCTCTCTCTCTCTCTCTCTCTCTCTCTCTCTCTCTCTTTCTAGATATATCTCTTTTTAATGTTAACATTTCACCAACACATTTATTTCGTTTCTTCAAATTGTTGAATTTTATCCAAAATGGGGATGGTAGTTGATTGGTTGTTGTTGCGTACGAGTAAATCGGTTTCTGACGTATCCAATTATTTATTTGTTATTAATTATTATTTTATTTATTGTTTAGTATAATGCAATATTAATTATGCATGTTTGTAAAATGCAAAAATAAGCCAATGGTCTTCCTCGTTTGCTGGTTCAAGTCAACATCTTTCATTTTATGATTGGTTGTGTGCGTGTTTTTTTTTTATTTGTTTATTCATTGTCCTTTTTTTATCGTAGAAATATGGAAGATCGATATAACCCGAAAAATATTACGAAGTTTGCCGTTTGAGAGTCCTGGTGAACACGACGACGACGATGACGATGATGACGAAGACGAAAGACTCTCATTTTCGAGAGGGGGAGATTTGCTGTGACAAAAAACAATTTAGAATATGACGGAACCAAAAAAAAAAAAAAAAAATTAAGTTAACCAAAAATATTGTTTTTATATATATATGTGTAATTAGCGATAGCCACACCACATCGAAAAAATGAATATTTGAAAAAAAATAAAACAAATCTGTGCGCTTTGCTCACGAGGGTTTTCTGTGTGTGTTTTTGTTCTCTCTCTCTTCTCATCTAATCTTTTTTTTCTTTTTTTTTTTTTGCAAATATAAAAAATATCAATGAGAGTAATGTGTAATGTGTTTGTGTGTATATATGTGTGTAACACGTGTGACACGTCCAAAAAATCAGTGGTATTATTTGTGGGTGGTGCTGCACTATCGACGAATAAAACGCTTGTTCGCATGGTGTAGGCCACTCAAAAAGAAAAAACAAAAACCAAAAAAAGAAAAATTAAAAATACATATCGGTGAATTACGGACAAAATACAAAACTGGTGTGTGTGTGTGTGAGTGTAACACGTGTGTATATCACTGCGTCTCTCCCTCCCTCTTCTGACGATACAAAACGTTTTTCTTGCCGTTAACTTAAGAAAAAAAAAGGAAAAGAGAATGAAAAAACTTAAAGAAAGTAATAGAAGGGAAAATGATATGTCTCTACTATTCGGAAATAAGAAAAAAGAAAGAAATGTGAATATGATTAAATGAAAGAGTGAAAAAACGACCCCGCCACCATAAAGCAAGACTCATCAAACCGTATGAAAAGAAAAGTAACACAAATGTAAAGAAAGAAAAAACAAAACAGATAACTAAAAGCAGAAAATATGAAGAAGAAAAGTAAAGCTAACGAAAGAAAGAAAGAAAGAAATAAAAGAAAAGGGTTAAAAAAGAAAAAGAAAATTGCGCGTGGGCAAGGCGTGCCGCTTACCGGCGGACGTTCTCGACTTGTTCCTGGGCTTTTGCTGATGATGCTGATGCGCGCCGGGCGAGCCCGGATTGTTGGAATGCGCGTTGCTCGCGTGAGCCGAAAGTAGCTTCGAATCGGCAGGGCTCACGACACCGGGTACACCAGAATTAGGGTTACCACCGGCGCCGTGATGCGCCGCCGCGGCGAAAAGAGCGCCGACCGTCGTCCCCGAGTTCCCGGAGTTGCCGTTGTTGTTGCTGTTGTTGTTGTTATTGTTGTTGTTGTTGTTGTTATGCGGATTGTGGGACGACGCGGAGGACGACGAGGAGGAGGACGTGGCCGTGCCGCCGGAGCCGCCGCCTCCCCCAGCACCCCCACCACCATTCAAATGATGATGATGATGATGGTGATGGTGGTGGGCAGCGTTGGGGTACTGCAAATGTTGATACATGTTGTAGGCACTCGTCGCCTGGTCATATTGTGCCGCCGAGGCCGCAGCGGCGGCGGCGGCATAGCTGTCCCTTCCGCAGGGCGAGCTGGCCCCGTTGTTATTTTGATACGCGTCCTGTTGCTGCTGCTGCTGCTGCTGTGCCGCTTGCTGTTGTTGCTGTTGCTGTTGAGAGCCATTCGCTTGTTGTTGACCACTTCCCGATTGGTTATTACCTTCGCGTTGTTTCACCTGTCCCGAACTGGCCGCCGTGTTGTTACTGCTACCACCACCGTTGTTCCCCGCGTTCCCTCCGTGCTGTTGATGTGGCGGCGATGGTGCACCACCATGATGATGACCCAACATAACCGTAGGTTTAACGTCGCAACTACCCGCCCCGCCGGCTCCCAGCGCATCCTGATGATGCATAAACGCACCCATAACCGCTGCATGGGCCACGGCTGCTTGGTACTCGCTGTTACCTCCACCACCCAATCCTCCCAAAGAGTTCGCTCCGCTACCGTTGTTATTGTTGTTGCTCCCGCTACCGCTGTTGTTTGTCGCATTGTTATTAGAACTAGACGTCGTACTCGCGGTTATACTATCGGGCGTAGCATCCTTCGGCGGCGTTGGGGGAAAAGAAAACAGATGGTGCGTACCCCCGCCGCCAGCCCCGTGACTCGATAAACTACCCGTTGTGGGTGGTAAAGATGAACCCAATGGACTCTGTGGTTTGTCGTCGTTTACTGTACCACCGGTCGATGCCGTTGTCGTTGGAAAACCCCATGGCGTTTTAGAGGTATCCGCCCCGCTACCGGACAACCACGGATGTAATACCGTGCTGTGAAAGTGCGGCCGACAAACTTGACTTACTGGACCGCTTGTCACACCGCTACTCGACATTCTCGCTGCAACAACAAATTTACAAATATTTCAACGTTAAAATATGTTACATTATGTCATGCTTATGTATATCAATAACAAATCAAAATCTTAAGAATAATTAAACGATTGATTCTAATGCAAAAGAAAGAAAGAGAGAGATAAAGAAATATCAGTGTATATATACTGGATTGTCTGAAAATGGAAAGTCGTAAAGATCGGGGTAGTGGTGATGGTGATTGTGATGGTGATATGGTAGTAGTGGGTAATCGCTACTGATGGTAACAGAGAAAGATACTTGATTCGTGCGTGCGCAGAATGATCGAGTTTAACGCCGATCGTAAAAGTACCTAATTGCGAGAGACGTCTTAATTAAGTGCAAGGCCCGCTTGCTGTTACTGTTGCTAGTAGTGTTATGGGGGATCTCTTCCTTTCTCTCTCTTTCTTTCTTTTATTTTTACTCCTTATAGGAAGACCAAGTTATACCTCGGTTGCGTCAAGTCTCGCCTTATATGCGATAAAGCTCAAAGATTAGTTCTTCATTAGTGATCATTTGATCACGATAGAAAAGCAATGAACTAACGACAAAGACAATGAAAAAGACTATGATTCGTCCTCGATAAATATCACCAAACACATATATACAAATGTAATCCTCTTGTGATATACTAATAAGTTTTAAAGTATCTCTCTCTCTCTCTCTCTCTCTCTCTCTCTCTCTCTCTCTCTCTCTCTCTCTCTGTGTGTGTGTGTGTAGAATATAAAATACATTTTCAAACTTCTCTTAAGGTTTTATCTCATCTTATTATCTTGAAGAAAATAGTTAAACGTTTTATTATATATCTCGTAACTCTAACGATCGTTGATACTTTCGCGACCTAACACGAATTCTCAATGTAGTTGTTTTCTTATACGTCAGGTGTGATCTATCGAGATATTGCATTAAAAGAAATAAACACCAAGTTACATCTCTAACTTCTATATTACTTAAACGTGATATATCTTAAGAAAATATAACTACATTAGGTATATCCAATATAATACATTTCAAATCTTATCTCAAAGTATTTACTTATCCTATTCCCCTCTCCTACACATTATACCATGTTCAATCATTCTAATAAATGTCTCACGATGTAATTACCGTTGTTAACTATTCTCAATTACACATACACACACTTTCTCTCTCTCTTTATGCATATACTTATTATACATACATTTATATTTTCATGGGTTGCCGTGAAATAACGTACAACGTACAAAGCTGACGTGGAATAACATATGTTTCATACAAAATCAACCAACCAACCAACCACGCACGCTATTTAAAAATGTAAGGGGGGGGGGTGGTAAGAAGAGGTAAGGAAGAAGAAAGGTACGAAAAAAAAAAAAAAGAAAAAGAAAATCCAGTTATGTTATGTAGTCGTCACGAAAGATTCCCATACCTGATAGAAAAGTCATTAACACCCCTTCTCACACGTATGTGTGTGTGTGTGTGCTTGCTCGAATTCATCGGTAAGGGAGGAAATTCGAAAGGTACAAGTCAGGATGTGCTCGCACGAAAGCTTTTGCGTGCATATATATATGTACTACACATACATACATTTCCTACGTGCTTACGGAGGATGAAGTTGGTCGACGAAGCATACGATCGATATATCGAGTGGAACTTGCCGGTACTGCTCCGCCACCTTCACGGCATACGCTGATAACACGAGAGACTGTTTTGCCAAGCTCCGTTCTCTCAACTACTACTATTGCTACTATTACTAATACTACTACTACTACTGCTACTTCTATCTTTCTCTCTCTCTCTTCGATGGCCTCGATTCCCATTGAATTATGGGCATTAATTTAAGCTTTAAGCCCTCCACCACCATGGTGTCTGCTACCATCTACTACTCCCTTACCGATTTATCGTGTCTCCATAATTCCTGCTACAATTTTCACCAAAGTTTCATTTCAAAATGAGAAAATAAGACACTTGAAATCTTATTAATATTATATTATTCATAAATTTATAAATACTAATTATTAACTTGAATTGATATTAAGTTTTTTGGACAATAGGATAAAGTATGGATTCTTTTCTGAAAACTGTACCAATATTATAGATATAAGTACACAAGAAACTGAATCACAAATTTAAAACAAATCATTTGACTTTGTTGCATCAGAATTAGGATCAAACAAATGTATGAATGAACAAAAAAGAAAATTACAGATGCACTGTTACAATGCAATCAATTTAAAAACAGATCATTTTCGAATCAATTGTATCAGAATTACAATCAAACAATTGTTCTAAAAAAAAAAAAAAAAAAACCAAAGACGATTTTATTTTAATTTTATTATAATTATTAGTCAACTGTCAATTTGCTGAATATTTCACATATGAGCGGACAAAACAAAAAAATTACAGATGCACTGTTACGATGCATCCATAATTTTAAAGACCACACCAATGAACAGCAAGCAACAAGCAAGTGTAACACACCAAACGAGGAAAGTAAAATGGAATTGGCAGCTGCAACGTTGTTGTCGTCGTCGTCAACGTAGTCGTCGTGCAATTAATCGGAGCCCAGCCGCGATGTACAGCTTGTAATTGGATCTACTGCTACTACATTATAGCTTGCGATTAACGAGAAATAAAAAAGTAAACACACGGGAGAATATTATAGGAAAATATAAAGATATAAATATTCATCGACAAAACCGTAACTTGCAAGTTGCATCCACAACAGTAAGAACAACAACCAGAAGTAGGAAGTTAACAGCTGCTTACAAAAAAAAAATACTGTTCTCTTAACTCTAGCTTTCTTTCTTCTCATTGAACAATTAAACGTATTGGTATTAAAAAAAACATATAATACTAATCCATGTGAGCTAATATTTTATTAATAAATAAAAAAAAATAACCCCTTACCACCCTTTCTTTCCTTTGCTTTTTTTTCTTTGGACTCGTCATCTGAATTTAAGAAGCTTATATAAATATATAAAATATATAAATATTTCTATTTTGTTTCATATATATATATAATACTATTATTTTATTATAACTAATAAACTAATATATAACTAATATATTATATTAATTTATTATATATTATATAATTTATTATATATTATATATAAATTATATTAATAATTATATATTAGTTATATATACTAATATATAACTAATATAACTAATAAATTATAACTAATATATATATATAACTATTATTAGTTAATAATATTTATTTATATTATATATTATTTATAATGTATTATATAATTATATTTCAATAAAATATATATAAATATAAATATATTGCAAATATAGCAACAAATTAAATCCATTATATATGCATAAAAATCTTTAAATAATTCAATACTCAAAGGTTTAATTACTATTAACTTCCCACGTTTTATTTAAACGTCTTTCATTCTCTCATTTTCTCTTACTCTCATAAAAATCTAATGCTCTTTCTAATCTACAATTTTTCGTAATAATTATCAATTGATTTACCAATCAATCTTATTAATATCATTAATCTTAATCTTATTAACATCTTATTAAAATCAATTTTATTGATTATCTAACAAGATTTTAATTAAATAAAATCCCTTGATTTACAACAACAACAACAAGAACAAGAACATTTGTTTCCTTTTTCTTAGTACAAATTAATTACAATTATCTTTCCACGTTTTATTTAAACGTCTTTCATTCTCTCATTCTCTTACTCTCATCATGAAAATTTAATCACGACTCACGGTTGTTGTTATTGTGTTGTTGTTGTGTTAGTGTTCTATAATTCTTGGTTAACGTACGATCAAATATATATATAGGAATATAGTTTGAAATTCGTTTGATTAAATTATGTAAACTATGAGATATCGTTGTGAATCGATGTTGTACATGTTGATGGTGATGGTTGTTGATGGTGATGATGGTGTCCGAACGGTTGGAAAGAAGAAACTCACAAACACAGTGGGTCAACGATTTACGATGAGGATGGAGAGAAGAAGAAGAGTTCATTGCCCCTTTTTCCTTCCTTTTTCAGAGAAAACAAAAAAAAAAAACAAATTCGCGTAGACGGCTAAGAGTGCGAAAAGACGAAGAGAATGAGGGAGAAAAAAAGAGAATCAAAGGGGAGGAAAGAGGGGAGAAGATGAAGAAGAAGAGAGGGGTTGGAAGAGACAGTGACAGAAAGAAAAAGAAATGTATGGTAAGAGGTGGTGCGAAAAATGACCAGACACCCAGACACACACAAACACACACACACAAAGATAAAAAGGGAAGCAGTTCGCACTCTCAACGCAATAAAAACTTCCATACCGAGGCCGATATTTATCGTTCTATATCCGCTCCGCCCTTTTTTCTCCCTACCTCCCTTTCCTCGACCCCACCCTTCCTCACCCTTCCTCACTCTCCTCACCATCCTCACCCCTTCTTCCCTTTTGCCACTTTTCTCTCTTACTCTTTTTTTCGTAGCACAAGAGGAAGAACCTTTTTACGGCATTTCACGAAAACTTTTTTGACCATCCCCCTAACCACCCTTTCCATTCCCTTCCCTTTACTTTCTTTTCTTGTAGTTAAGTTATTTTTTTTCTTTTTTTTTTCTTTTCTTTTCTTTTCTTTTCGTCACAGATATAATTCTTGGCTCGTGTTATCTCAACGATATTTCTCCGTCGAGTCCGACGATTTTAAAATTCACCCTGTGAAATTATACTTGATTTTTATAAAATGTGTTAGTGTAAGGTCGTTTGATTTTTAAATATTGTTAATAATTAATGTAATTTGATTTATTCTGTTTTTTTTTAATTAATTAATTATATATATATTTAGTTTGAGATATATTTTATACATATATATTATATCTTCAAATATATTATATTTATATTTTTATTATATTAAATTATATTATATTTATATTTTTTATGTTATATTAAATTTATATTTTTATTTATAATACATTTATATTTGAGATATATTTTTTTAACGTTTGTAAATTATTTTAAAATTTATTTTTCTTTACAT